CTGAGAGTGCCATTTCCGGCAATCTAGAGGTGTCATATTCATAAATTTTCTTTCCTCAGCCCCAACCATGGTGGGGCTGAGGTGATCTACTTTTCCAACGTGCAAGTCCTTCCCTGTCCCCCCTCTAATTTGCTTTCCTGGAGCCGCGACTGATAATGATAAATTAAGTAAATCACATTTATGTTTGTGAAATCAAAATGCTAACCAATGTTTTGTGTGCTCCCTATCTCCCTAGTCATGTTTGATGGTAAATTTTTCATAGTTCGAATTTTGAATACGTTACAAGCTAATCAGTTGATAATAAATCATTATTTTTAAGAATGTTAGTTTGCACGAAATATATAATCAGGCATAATTATGACTAAAAAGGATAATTTTAAAAACTTTTTATGAGTATTTCAGTGGCAGATTCAAGGGGCCCAGCATCACTATTTTTTTTTTTTTTTTGAAATTTAAAAGTGGAGAAAAATTTAATTTATATTCAAATTCAGTCTGAGAGTGCCATTTCCGACCAACTGGAGGTGGCATAATCATAAATTTTCTTAACTCAGCCCCAACCATGGTGGGGCTGAGGTGGTAGTCCAGCTTCACTCTCCATCTGTAAAAGTCCCTCTCTGGGCCCAGCTCTATTTCAAATTACTGGATCCTCCACTGGATATTTTAAAAATTTCGTATGGAAATAAATGTTAATTGCATTGCTTAAAATCAATTAAAAGGCTATATGCGCCAGAGCTTCCGGGGCTTCGCCCCCTGGTCCCCAACCATTGCTTGGGCCTACGACCCAAGGCTTTATTTTTCATCTCGTCCCCCCCCCACTTTCAGCCACGGATCAACGCCCTTGGGAATGCATAGTCTGATGAATTGATTCTTTGCTTCGCCATCAAGTGCCTTAATAAACTCTGCTGGTATTCCATCTTCACCTTCAGCTTTCTTAACTTGCAGCGAGCCTTTCTATGGCAGAAATCACCTCACTCACTAACAAGTCTGGTCCAATATATGGTCATCTTCCAAGGGTATACTGTCTGGTCGTTCCATTTTACAATATAGATCTTATATATTTATATTGCTTCCATCTAGTCTTGATGTCTTCATCCTCTGTTAGAATGTTCCTGTGAGCGTCTTCCAGCAATAACATATAACATTTATTTAGTCTGTCAAAACTTAATTGAAATAATGGCAACACATTACAAAATCGGTCTTCTATATTCCAGTTAAGTTTTGACAGATAAAACAATTTTTCTTTTTTTTTTTTATTCATACAGTACGTAAATATGTCCTTAGCGAACATTTTGAAGAAAAATTATGTTGATACAACAATCCATTAAAGATTTATTTTTTGAGTAACATATTTTATTTCTGTTGGTTACACTTCGCTGCTCAGCATTGTTTTTCATCAATCGTACATGTCTTCCGCAGCATGAAAAAGCATTTTCGCACGTTTTTCTTCTTCAAACATTCCTAGGCTTTAGTGTTTTTATAATTTATACTTAGAAAATTTATTTGTACATCATAAAAAGGTTTTCCTCCAGACCTTGGATTTATGCAATTTTTTACCATCTATACTTAGTGAGTGTTAGCTGTCAAATTAACAAAGTAGTAAATATGTAGTAGAAAAATAGAAGAAAGAGAGGCTCCATATCATGTACTGTATGGACGGCCACAAGTCAACTCGGCCACAGTCAACTCGGCCACAAGTCAACTCGGCCATAAGTCAACTCGACCACAAATCAACTCGGCCACAAAAAGTTTGGCTACAGCCAACTCGGCCACAAGTCAACTCGGCCACAAGTCAACTCGGCCATAATTCAACTCGGCCACAAGTCAACTCGGCCACAAGTTATTTAATGTAAATCTCAGTTTTTGCATCCTTTTTCTTCAATATATGATTGAAATAAAGTACACAGTATATTTTAGCAAAACAGGACCACCACACTATGCCAAAAGAGATTTGAATGCTATTGCCTATGAATTAAAAAGAGTTATTTATAATGTTTTTGTCTTCTGTTTACTCACAACATTCTATTTCAACAATAATATTAAACAACAATAACGACAATAAATTAGTAATATTTACTTTAATAATACTAATTAGTCATTATGACGATAATAAAGGT